CAATGGCTGTTGGTTGGTTCTGTGATCTGATTATCATATCATTTATAACTGTTGGATGGATGGCACCTTGCTCCTGCTTTGATTACTAAGGCAATCATAGCTAGCTAGTACAGTGTACATCCAGGACCTAAATCTGCTGTGTTCTGACATGCCCACTGCTAGAGAGTCTATGACTGGGGTGGCCTAGCTCTGCAGTGCCTCAATAAGGGATTAGTAGAGGGGTTTGTGATATTACAGCCATTAAGATAATGCAATAGTAAATTATGTTCTCGTGCCTCTGTTTACACTTCATCGATTTACATTTTGAGGGATTGATTTAAACGCAAGAAAGGCAGTTTTCATACTCTTCTTGATGCATTTATGTCAATCTCACATGTTAATTTGGGTGGGATTATGCGTGTAAAGTAGTAAATTACCTCTGATTAAGGTAATTCCGTTACAGGACGTACAGTACCAGTCAAAAGATTGGACACACCTACTCATTTAAGGGTTTTTCTTTATTTTTACTATTTTCTACATTGTAGAATAATGAAATAACACATATGGAATCATGTAGTAACCAAAAATGTGTTAAACAAATCAAAACATATTTTATATTTGAGATTCTTCAAATAGCCACCCTTTGCCTTGATAACAGCTTTGCACACTCTTGGCATTCTCTCAACCAGCTTCACCTGGAATGCTTTTCCAACAGTCTTGAAGGAGTTCCCACATATGCTGAGCACTTGTTGGCTGCTTTTCCTTCACTCTGCCGTCCGACTCATCCCAAACCATCTCAATTGGGTTGAGGTCGGGGTATTGTGGAGGCCAGGTCATCTGATGCAGCACTCCATCACTTTCCTTCTTGGTAAAATAGCCCTTACACAGCCTGGAGGTGTGTTGGGTCATTGTCCTGTTGAAATATAAATGATAGTCCCACTAAGCCCAAACCAGATGGGATGGCATATCGCTGCATAATGCTGTGGTAGCCATGCTGGTTAAGTGTGCCTTGAATTCTAAATAAATCACAGACAGTGTCACCAGCAAATCACCCCCACACTGTAACACCTCCTCCTCCATGCTTTACACACCGCGTCTAACAAAAACACGGCGGTTGGAACCAAAAATCTCCAATTTGGACTCATCAGACCAAAATACAAATTTCCACCGGTCTAATGTCCATTGCTTGTGTTTCTTGGCCCAAGCAGGTCTCTACTTCTTATTGGTGTCCTTTAGTAGTAGTTTCTTTGCAGGAATTCGACCATGAAGGCCTGATTCACAGAGTCCCCTCTGAACAGTTGATGTTGAGATGTGTCTGTGACTTGAACTCTTTGAAGCATTTATTTGGGCTGCAATTTCTGAGGCTGGTAACTCTAATGAACTTATTCTCTGCAGCAGAGGTAACTCTGGGTATTCCATTCCTGTGGCGGTCCTCATGAGAGTCAGTTTCATCATAGCGCTTGATGGTTTTTGCGACTGCACTTGAAGAAACGTTCAAAGTTCTTGAAATGTTCCGTATTGAATGACCTTCATGTCTTAAAGTAATGATGAACTGTCATTTCTCTTTGCTTGTTTGAGCTGTTCTTGCCATAATATGGACTTGGTCTTTTACCAAATAGGGCTATCTTCCATTGTGGCGCAGTGGTCTAAGGCACTGCATCGCAGTGCTAGCTGTGCCACTAGAGATCCTGGTTCGAGTCCAGGCTCTGTCGCAGCCGGCTGCGACCGGGAGACCCATGAGCGGCGCACAATTGGTCCAGCGTCGTCCAAGGTAGGGGAGGGTTTGGCCGGCAGGGATGTGGGTTCGTTTCCCACCGGTGACCAGTATGAAACCCCCCCCCCAAAAAACAAAAACAAAAAACATGTATGCATTCACAAACTGTATGTCGCTCTGGATAAGAGCGTCTGCTAAATGACTAAAATGTAAATGTGTATATACCCCCCTACCTTGTCACAACACAACTGATTGGCTCAAACGCATTAAGAAGGAAAGAAATTCCACAAATGAACTTTTAAGAAGGCACACCTGTTAATTGAAATGCATTCCAGGTGACTACCTCATGAAGCTGGTTGAGAGAATTCACTATTATTCTACAATGTAAAAAATAGTAAAAATAAAGAAAAACCCTTGAATGAGTAGGTGTTCTAAAACTTTTGACTGGTAGTGTATGTGTTTATGATCACATCAATCTTAGTTGATTAAGGGTGTAGTGTACACAGGTCTAGTCTGACAGTTCGTCAAGTCATTGGTAAAGTGCCATTTTGTCACTTTAACACACTTTAAATTAGTATATATTTTTTGCGTCTGATTAGTGTGTTTGTACCCTAAGGGTGATTTTACAATCCCTTGCATATCGTCTTACAAATGTCATATGTCATACAAGGGCCAATTATGTTACTACGCTAATGGCTTCAGTATCTCACATTATCTCACATTCAGTATCTCACATTATCTCACATTCAGTTTCTCACATTAGCTCACATTCAGTAACTCACAAAACAAACACTAATACTTCTATTTATCCAGACATCAACCCCATTGCAGACAGCAACTTGACACTTGGATCAACATAGTCCTTTTTATAACAAATCACAGAACTCTGAGAGGCATATTACAGTTCAATTAACAAGCAATTATCAACTTCAAAATGAGTAGAAAATTGGACGACTGACAAATCGTTTGAGGTTTTGGTATGGGGTTTTTCAAAAGCCTCAGCTTTTATCTAAATGCGTAAAAAAAAAAAAATACTGATAAGTGTTAGGAACAATTACGAATGGAGAAATTTAAGTTTTTGTTTTGCCTCTGACTCATTTGGAATGCTAGAATCAAATAATTAATATGAAACATTCTATGATCTTGTTATTTCTGTTTTTGTCAATGACAGAGTCGACAAAGAGTTTTTCAGAATCTAAATGAGTTCATTGTTTGATCCCTGTTATCAGAACGTTCAAGGACCCCTGAAAATAGTTCAGTTCTTTAAAACAACTTAGCACTGACAGCATAAGAAAATTTACACATTTTAGTCAATTATGTATTCAATATGATTTGAGCAATTATCTCAATATAATATTCCTTCTTTTGAGATACAAGCACATAGAAATTTGATAAATTCTAGTTAGATACGTCCCTTATTTGCTACTAATGCTTGGTATAAAAAGAGGGCAAGAGGTCCTTACTAGTCATTACTAGTCATAATACACTGATGATTAAATGAAACCATTCTCAGTGGTGTGAAATGGACTGTGGTGCAGTAGAAAGTGATAATTGTAAATTAGGTTGTGTGGTGTTTCACGCTCTGTGACTGGAGAATATGTGCTAGGCTTTATCAAAACCTATTAGTGTTGAATAGTGCAGATATAGTCGTTTTTAAACCTTTTCAAGCAATAAAATCAGTATTTGGAAAAAGGGGGTTGTTGTCCCACTGGCTATCCTAAGTTGAATGCACCAATTTGTAAGTCGCTCTGGATAAGAGCGTCTGCTAAATGACTTAAATGTAAATGTAAATGTAATCGAGTCATTACAGACACCTCTCTCACAAACAGGGCACAAGAGAATCCAAGCTTTAAAGACTGCACATACATGCATGGCGTTCTAAACCACAGCTAATTCAAGGACCTGTACTCTAATATTGATTATAAACTGGGTGGTTTGAGCCCTGAATGCTGATTGGCTGAAATTTGGCAGTTATTTTTACTGATCTAATTACGTTGGTAACCAGTTTATAATAGCAATAAGGCACCTCGGGGGATTGTGATATATGGCCAATATACCACAGCTAAGGGCTGTGTCCAGGTACTCCGCGTTGCGTTGTGCATAAGAACAGCCCTTAGCCGTGGTATATTGCCCATATACCACACCCCCTCGGGCTTTATTGCTTAAACATACTGTACATCTCAGTATGTTTAGTTTGTGACTCAGCCATTGATGTCTTTAGCATCATTCCCAACCCAATACCATCCTAATCCACAAATAACTGTTTGTCCAAACTGGCCTGTAGTAATTGCTAACGCTGAGGTTGCCACAACAGGAAGAAAAAAATACAGTAGTACTTTAATTGTCATTTTGCGAGGCTTTCATCTCCTGCTGATCTGATGTAGACAGGTAAACTCACTACTCTTACAGGTGACATCATGGGACCCAATCTAAGTCCTGGCTCTTTGCTTGGCCCTCTGGGATATTGGCCAGTAATGTGCAGCCCACAAATACACTTTGAGAACCTTTTAATTCTATTAAGAACAAGCTATGATGTGCCCTGTTGGCTTCTTTTCATCTTTGGTCCATGTGCTTGCCAAAGGAAGCTGAAATTCACAAAATAAGCCAAATATGCACTAAAATCTGCCAACAGCAGCCGGGGTACTATAAGTGGAAAACATGTATTTTTTTTATCCCTTTAATGGTTAGTACAGAGGGTCAGGGAAAGTAATCAGCGCAAGGATTGTTACCAAATCACAGAAACAGAGTGCCCCTACAGTACATTGTATTAACTAGTCGTTCATAAGAACAATAGACAGCTAACAAGGTGACCTCTTTTATTCTGTTGTGCAATATCGTCTCCAACATCTGTAAGATCTGGGATATCTATTGACATCAGAAAATAAATTCAGAGGTATCTGATTTTCATCCAATTTGGGCTAAACCGCCTGCTTAAAGCACTACACACTAACTAGCCCCTTGTTCATCCAACGAGACGGGCAAGGCACCAGCGACAGGGCCTTCCACATTGTAATGTTCAGTCTCTTTCATGCTTGCCAGAGCTACTTAGAGGCTTAGAGAAGGGGAGAAGCAGGCAATTAGTGTGTGAAATAGATATCCCCTGCTTTTCCACCACCAGCCCTGGTTTGCCCAGAATACACTATGTTACCTCTGTCAGCAATACCTTGAAAAAACAACAACCAAAAAATACCTTGACAAGAGAAGAGTGCATGCTTTAGTTTGTGCCTGCCTAGCAACCATCTCCAGTGGAATCGATGGAATCACTAATGGAGTTTTAGAGAAATGTTAAGCATTGTTAAAAAACGTGCCTTTATTGTTGCAGTAAAGAATGCACTTTTATTTTTTTAGCTTAAATGGCTTTCATTTTATATGAATGATAGTCACTAGCGGCACACAGATTGAGAAATGTCTAGTTTGGCTTTATATGCTTTTGGAATGTCTATAAACATACAGTTTAACAAATAGTCTAATGCTCCAAAACAGGAACACAAATAAATATAGTTTTCCCTTACATCTAATTTTTCTTTTGTCATTTTGATGAATCTCAGTGTGACATTATATCATCAAATAGCTTATGAAGAAAATATGAAAATATTATCCTTTACAGTTTATAACAAAGGCAGAGTTGTACAATTCTACATCTACAAAAGTCTGCTGAATGTTTTAATATAAAACAATCATTTTGTGTTTTGTGTTTTGGTTAATCTATCAATACTTAATGAAGTGTCAAACAATGGGCACATCAAAAGTAGGAATAGTAAGAAATTACTATTAACATTGAAGTAGCAAATGTGTCGGTGTAACTCACTGATTAATACAGTTTCAAATTAATGCACCAGGCAAATATCGGGATTGTCTATTGCCTTCTGAGGTGAATCCAGAGAGGCAGACATCTCAGACATCAGTGTCCAGCGGTGGCAGGATCATGTCCAGGCAGGGAGACAGTGAGTCCTGACTGTGTGTGGAGCTGATCCCTGTGTCTGAGTCTGTGTCTGTAACATCTGTAGGGGACAGGCTGTGTTTCAGTCTCACTGCCTGTGGAACAGTGCACGGGGCCGGGCCTTTCATTGTCCCAAGCCTGGGCATTTCCTGCACGCTGTCCCCCACCTGCAGTGTGCTCAGCTGGGAAGTCAGCTGCCAGCACTCCTGGTCCTTGGAGAGTAGTGTGGATTCATAGCGCTTCAGCTCCTTCTCCAGCTCGGCCGTTTGGGTGTGAAGGGACACACCGGTGTACAGGCTAAGCCTCAGTTCGGCCTGCAGTCTCTCTAGTTCTGCCGCTTCCCAGGACTGGTCTGGGTCGGAAGTGACCCCAGAGCCTGCCGTTGCCCCCTGTAACTGAGTATCCTTGTCTGGGACCTCCGGCAACACTAACATGGCCCTCGCCAGCTCTACGTCGATGTCCTGGGACAGCTGGGCTATAAGTTCCTCGTGCCTGAGCAGCTGCATCTCCAACTGGGCCACCCCGTCACTAGTATACAGGCACTCCTGCAGCAGCTCCTGCTCTGAGACCCCTGGCTGGCTGTCCAGGCTCTGGTTGTGGCTGTGTGGGAAGGAGATTGGGGAGAGTGAGGAGAATCCCTCATGGAGAGGCTCTGTATCCTGTTGTCCTCCCTGCAGCTCCATCTTGAAGCGTTCCATCTCACAGTCCAGCTCCCTCATCCTCTGGATCTGATGCCGGATGGTGTGATCCTGTTGGATAAGCAGCTGAACCATCCTGTCTATCTCCTCTCTGCCCGGAGAAGATCCCACTACCCTCTTCTCCTTATGGATCTTCTCCAGCTTCCTGAAGGCCTTCTTCACCATCCGTTTCTGCCTCTCCACTGGCAGCGACTGGGAGTACTGGGCTGGGCCTTGCTCCCATCTTTTAGCCCCCTTAGCCCCCTTCGATTTGGCCCCCTTCTTGCCTCCTGCTTGGGGTACAAAATCGCTGGCCTTGACCAGGGTGAACTGGATGAACAGTCGTTGGTCTCCCCAGGCGTTCCATAGCCTGAGGATGCGGGTTAACGGGGGCAGAGCCCTCTCAAAGCCTTTCCAGCGCTCTAGCAGGCAGAAGTCTTTGGGGTCGCCGTGCAGAAGCCTCTTGCTCTCAGGGATGGTCTTGTGGTCATCCAGCAAGGCCTGCACTATGTCAGCACACGTTGTGTGTTTGGTGACACCGCACACCACCTTCTCCTCATCGCACACCGACACCTGGATCTCCTTTCCTGGCACAGTTTCCTTGTCGTCTTTGTCTTCCGCCCTAGAAAAAAGACAAATACAAAACGAGTTTGAATAGTCATCAGGTTCTGATATGGTAAGACTAGGTTATACAGTGTGTCAGACATCAATGGGTATAATTGAAATAACCATTGAACAGCATGAAATGTCCCAAAATTTAATGATGTGCAATTATGGATAAACCTGGTTTTTTGACGTGTCATTTCATTATCCTAATAGCTTTGGGAAAAAGCACATCCTATGGTTGGTTGGTGGTCTTCCATCAAGGCAGTCGATGAGCAGAAAACGTAGTCACTCAATTTGCTCAGCACTCCGATTCTGATTCTATTAAATAGTTACTCATCCTCTTACTCATCAGACATGATCACTTAATGATTCCATTCTGAGATATTTAAACTCCAAAGTCCTCATTTCCATAAAAACCTGATCAAAAAATCGCCTCCAAAATAGGCTTTTGATTATATTCCTTATTTAACTCAATGTTTCATTCCGTTGTCTCCTTTCCATGATGGGAAAAACCCAGAGCCATGGGCCATGAACCATGAACCATGTACCAGAGCCACCTAACATCCATCCAGTTCAGATCAAACGACGCAATGCAGAACAGATACCTACAAAATTAATCACATTAAGCAACAATCAAACGTAATGACCAGATAGCGTTTTGTGACATGGCAATTCTGTTGCAGTACAAGGCACTGAACTTTGTAATGTTTTATACATGGTAATGTTCATATTGGATGTCTTCAGTAGCTCAACAGTAGCTGACTGGCTAATATGTTTCAGGCTAATGTCCCTAGACATTTAATATAATATCTCACATAAGAACATCTAATATGTCCTATAAGTCCTATAACTGTATCATATGTCCAAAGGCCAGATCCTGCACCATTCCAGTACCAAAGTATCCATATCGTTCTCATTGTGTGGCTTTCATTCTTTCATTCCATGAGATCATAGATCATACCACACATGGTTTTTGGGTCTGATATGGTGAGAGTCTCGTCCTAGTCTTGGTCTCTGGTACTGACTCCATTTTCTGACTGTTGGATAAAAGGGTATCTTAGTCTATATCTGCTCTATCTGTTTGCGGAGAGATAACCTTCTCTGACCACAAAAGCCAGGTTTGGCCAACATCAAGCTTTTCAGGCATCCTGGAGGCAATGTCAATCATCCCTCTACCAGGCACGAACAAAGTTTCAGAGTGGCCCCTGGATGACATAGCCAACAGTAGTCACCTGTTCAGAACGACAGACGCTAACACGCATCTGACGCACATGTCTACTGTACAGTCAGTGAAGGGAGAAATGTACAATAAACAACTTCATTCAAAAAGAGTTCAATGGAAAAACCAATCCCCCCTAGCTTAGCTCCCCGTGAAGTGTTGGGTTAAGCTGATTTACAATGCGATATCACCACGTAGTGTTACGGTTTCCAATGGGCGTAAAAACACACAGGTGGAGCATTGTGTCAACTCTGAGCTGAACGAGACCTGAGGAATGCAATATGTATGCAACAATGCAACAGGTTGGTTAATGGTTATGGAGACCCTTGGAGACGAACAGGGCATGCAAATACCTGAGCTATGCAGAGAGAGGGAAAACAATCTCCTCGACACGCCTCCAGCATTCACAGACAATCACCATGACGACTTTGACCAAACCATTCCTCCACCTCTTCCCTTGGAAACCCAAGGAGCACTCAGTAACTTGAGAAGTTGGAGACTCTCTTCAGTCTCTCGAAATGTAAAGACTGCGTTCTCCTGTCTCATTGAGGAGAACAGTAGAGTATGGTGGATATAGGACTGCGTTCTCCTGTCTCATGAGAGAACAGTAGAGTATGGTGGATATAGGACTGCGTTCTCCTGTCTCATTGAGGAGACACTGACACTCCTTCTCTTGAGGAGAACAGTAAGTATGGTGATATAGGACTGCACACTCCTGTCTCATTGAGGAAACAGTAGAGTATGTGGATAAGGATGCACACTCCTGTCTCATTGAGGAGAACAGTAGAGTAATGGTGGATATAGGATGCACACTCCTGTCTCATTGAGGGAACAGTAAGTATGGTGGATATGACTGCACACTCCTGTCTCTCATTGCACAGGAGGAGAACATAAGTAGGTGATATAGACTGCACATCTGTCTCATTGAGAAACAGTAGAGTAGGTGGAATATAGGACTGCACACTCCTGTCTCATTGAGGAGAACAGTAGAGTATGGTGGATATAGGACTGCCACTCCTGTCTCATTGAGGAGAACAGTAGAGTATGGTGATATGGACTGCCACTCCTGTCTCATTGAGGAGAACAGTAGGTATGGTGGATATAGGACTGCGTTCTCCTGTCTCATTGAGGAGAACAGTAGAGTATGGTGGATATAGGACTGCGTTCTCCTGTCTCATTGAGGAGAACAGTAGAGTATGGTGGATATAGGACTGCACACTCCTGTCTCATTGAGGAGAACGTAGAGTATGGTGGATATAGGACTGCGTTCTCCCTGTCTCATTGAGGAGAACAGTAGAGTATGGTGGATATAGGACTGCACACGTCCTGTCTCATTGAGGAGAACAGTAGAGTATGGTGGATATAGGACTGCACACTCCTGTCTCATTGAGGAGAACAGTAGAGTATGGTGGATATAGGACTGCACACTCCTGTCCCTCATTGAGGAGAACAGTAGAGTATGTGGATATAGGACTGCACACTCCTGTCTCATTGAGAGAACAGTAGAGTATGGTGGATATAGGACTGCACACTCCTGTCTCATTGAGGAGAACAGTAAGTATGGTGGATATAGGACTTGCACACTCCTGTCTCATTGAGAGAACAGTAGAGTATGGTGGATATAGGACTGCACACTCCTGTCTCATTGAGGAGAACAGTAGAGTATGGTGGATATAGACTGCACACTCCTGTCTCATTGAGGAGAACAGTAGAGTATGGTGGATATAGGACTGCACACTCCTGTCTCATTGAGGAGAACAGTAGAGTATGGTGGATATAGGACTGCACACTCTCCTGTCTCATTGAGGAGAACAGTAGAGTATGGTGGATATAGGACTGCACACTCCTGTCTCATTGAGGAACAGTAGAGTATGGTGGATATAGGACGCACACTCCTGTCTCATTGAGGAGAACAGTAGAGTATGGTGGATTAGGACTGCACACTCCTGTCTCATTGAGGAGAACAGTAGAGTATGGTGGATATAGGACTGCACACTCCTGTCTCATTGAGGAGAACAGTAGAGTATGGTGGATATAGGACTGCACACTCCTGTCTCATTGAGGAGAACAGTAGAGTATGGTGGATATAGGACTGCACACTCCTGTCTCATTGAGGAGAACAGTAGAGTATGGTGGATATAGGACTGCACACTCCTGTCTCATTGAGGAGAACAGTAGAGTATGGTGGATATAGGACTGCACACTCCTGTCTCATTGAGGAGAACAGTAGAGTATGGTGGATATAGGACTGCACACTCCTGTCTCATTGAGGAGAACAGTAGAGTATGGTGGATATAGGACTGCACACTCCTGTCTCATTGAGGAGAACAGTAGAGTATGGTGGATATAGGACTGCACACTCCTGTCTCATTGAGGAGAACAGTAGAGTATGGTGGATATAGGACTGCACACTCCTGTCTCATTGAGGAGAACAGTAGAGTATGGTGGATATAGACTGCACACTCCGTCTCATTAGGAGAACATAGAGTATGGTGGATATAGGGACTGCACACTCCTGTCTCATTGAGAGAAACAGTAGAGTATGGTGGATATAGGACTGCCACACTCTGTCTCATTGAGGGAGAACAGTAGAGTATGGTGGATATAGGACTGCACACTCCTGTCTCATTGAGGAGAACAGTAGAGTATGGTGGATATAGGACTGCACACTCTCCTGTCTCATTGAGGAGAACAGTAGAGTATGGTGGATATAGGACTGCACACTCCTGTCTCATTGAGGAGAACAGTAAGTATGGTGGATATAGGACTGCACACTCCTGTCTCATTGAGGAAACAGTAGAGTATGGTGGATATAGGACTGCACACTCCTGTCTCATTGAGGAGAACAGTAGAGTATGGTGGATATAGGACTGCACACCTCCTGTCTCATTGAGGAGAACAGTAGAGTATGGTGGATATAGGACTGCACACTCCTGTCTCATTGAGGAGAACAGTAGAGTATGGTGGATATAGGACTGCACACTCCTGTCTCATTGAGGAGAACAGTAGAGTATGGTGGATATAGGACTGCACACTCCTGTCTCATTGAGGAGAACAGTAGAGTATGGTGGATATAGGACTGCACACTCCTGTCTCATTGAGGAGAACAGTAGAGTATGGTGGATATAGGACTGCACACTCCTGTCTCATTGAGGAGAACAGTAGAGTATGGTGGATATAGGACTGCACACTCCTGTCTCATTGAGGAGAACAGTAGAGTATGGTGGATATAGGACTGCACACTCCTGTCTCATTGAGGAGAACAGTAGAGTATGGTGGATATAGGACTGCACACTCCTGTCTCATTGAGGAGAACAGTAGAGTATGGTGGATATAGGACTGCACACTCCTGTCTCATTGAGGAGAACAGTAGAGTATGGTGGATATAGGACTGCACACTCCTGTCTCATTGAGGAGAACAGTAGAGTATGGTGGATATAGGACTGCACACTCCTGTCTCATTGAGGAGAACAGTAGAGTATGGTGGATATAGGACTGCACACTCCTGTCTCATTGAGGAGAACAGTAGAGTATGGTGGATATAGGACTGCACACTCCTGTCTCATTGAGGAGAACAGTAGAGTATGGTGGATATAGGACTGCACACTCCTGTCTCATTGAGGAGAACAGTAGAGTATGGTGGATATAGGACTGCACACTCCTGTCTCATTGAGGAGAACAGTAGAGTATGGTGGATATAGGACTGCACACTCCCATGGAGGTGTCAAACTCTTATCAGTGGTGTAAATACATTAACAAAATGTCAACATCAATCATAGTTAAACTAGTGCATTTAACATAATTAATTCACGTATTTGAGGATTTGACAAAATAGCATACGCAGCCTTTTCCCCAAAATTAACTGAAAAATACATTTAAAAAACATAGAAAAGTTGCATAGACACATTCACACATACACACATCCAATTAGTGTTATGGTGGGCCAGCTGACCTAAACCCTCAGCTGTGCAGGAAGTCACAGGAAGCCAGAACACTAGAGGAAGGGAAGCACCTGTGTTTGTCCTGCAGGGCCACAATCAGTGGAACAACGGCAACATCCTGCCACTTCCTGCCAGAATGCTAGTCTATGTACAGGGAGGAGGAAAACATGAATTCCATAACTGGAGCTGTGTAAATATGGAACATGAGGTGCGCACCTACTGTAACGTGAGCAACGAATATGGGTATATTGTGTAAGTATGTCTCCACATGTCTGGACTATGGATGTCAAATTAACTGTGTTGGGAATAGTCCCCATCCGGCACTGATACATATTCACATCATGGTTAGTGGCATAGTTAGCTGGCCTTTTTTCCCACTTACGTTTGAGGCAGCACCCGAAGCAGAGACCTGTGTCAAAACGTGTTCTGTCTCAGTGAGGAGAAGAGGACAGTACAACTTGCTCTCTCTCACTCTTGAGGACAACCATGTTTACACTTAACTGGTGATAAGATAACAGTGAACTGGTGCCAACAGTAGAAGTACACACTGTGTAACACTGGGAATGGTTTGTCTCCTCCGCTGCTGTCGAGCCAACTCCCTGCCTGGACAAATACAAAGACTGCATGGACCATTGGGCTGATTTAATCAAAGCCAATACATTCATGAGGGCTGTGAACTGGTGTTTCACTTCATGTGCATAGCTAGGGAATATGTTATGGTTTGGGGCAGGAACGTATGTGGGCGCCTACATTGATAAACTTAATGAGATACAGTACTTTATGATAGAAATGTACATGAATGTGCTGATGAACTTGAGCGTGCCAATCGTAAAAAAAAACTAAATACAAACTACACACAATCAAAGTCTACATACATGTAGGTTCTATGTCCTACTCAATGTCATTGCTGATGTCAAATAAATCTGTATCATTCAATAATTCCTTATTGCATATGGAGCTAAATGCTGAGTAATCTACAGAAACTTGAGCAAGCACACTTGACCCCTGTGTGAACTTAAAGGGTAGATGTTGGAAGTACATAAAAGCCTGTGGTGGAGGAGAAACCTTATTCCATTAAACTACCAGGTTTGTGTGTTTCTGTCATCTACGTTGGAACACCACAGTATTCGTAGCTCATGCCACAATCACATTGCTAGAGCGCTTCTTGTTCCCTAAGACATATCATAAAATGTAATTTAATACAGTACAAACAATCTCATCAATTTAAAAACCACCCTTGGCAAATGTACTCTGAAGAATCACATGCTTTTGGTTTAAAGTTTGAACAAGTCCCAACAAGTGAGACCAAATTATTAGCGCTCCTCTGTGTCACAACGTGTTGACTGAGTGACACTATCAACTAGAAAAACAGGGAAACATAGATACATTAATATTATGTGACAGTTGCCAATCTGTGATACTATGAACGTAAACATTTGTTGAGCTGTTGTTATCCTATCAGTGGAGGCTGGTGGAAGGAGCTATAGGAGGAAGGGCTAATTGTAATGGCTGGAATGGAATAAACGGAACGGTGTTATGTTGCTTCACATCCATATTCAAAGTACGTAACAAAGTAACAGAGCCTGAAGAGTAAGACAGGAACGGTTCTTGAAAGAGTTGTAGTAGAGTGAATGCACCAGACAGTTTCACCTCTAAATCCTTCTAAAGATACTAGAAACCATCCTCATTTTTCATATGTAATCAAAGCCCATCCATTCAATAAAAGAAAGCCCATAGTAAATGGGAGCGAATACTGTACTGTACAGTAAGTGGGGTTAATCCTGTTTGTTTAAGGCCATGTCCCACAGGCAGTTTCTCTAACACAAATACCCATGTGGAGGGCTACTATCAAGGGACGAAACTGGAGGAGACTAGGTCGTCTGTGTCCCAAATGGCAGCCTACCCTATTGGCCCTGGTCAAAAGTAGTGCACTAAATAGGGAATAGGTTGCCATTTGCGATGCAGGCTGGAGAGGCTCCCAGTTCCTGGCTCTTATCTAAAGAGGATGAGGGATTTGGAAGGAAATAACATCACTTCTCTATCTGGTTTCGTTAATCTCTGAGGATGACTCCCAGTCAGATAGGCATCTGGGAGAAAATACCAAATAATCTACACCCTTCCCCTAATCCTTACTGTATCATATGGTTGTGAAAAGAAGTGGCATCCACTTTTAAAGGAATGTATGTTTTTTTCTGACTGTTTCAAAGGGTCAAATCTGAATTGTCTGACTCTCAGGGTAAATTGTTTTGATCCAGCTGAACATAACCAAGATTCCTGTCTATCTACATCAGGGGTGTCAAACTCATTCCATGGAGGGCCGAGTGTCTGCTGGTTTTTGGTTTCTTCTTTAAATTTGTGTCCAATTAAGACCTAGAAAACCAGGTGAGGGGAGTTCCTTACTAATCAGTAACCTTAATTAATCAATCAAGTACAACTGTAGCTCAGTTGGTAGAGAATGGCGCTTGCAACGCCAGGGTTGTGGGTTCGATTCCCACGGGGGGCCAGTATGAAAAATGTATGCACTCACTAACTGTAAGTCGCTCTGGATAAGAGCGTCTGCTAAATGACTAAAATGTAGAATGAGAGAAAGCCTGCAGACACTCGGCCCTCTGTGGATTGTGTTTGACACGTGATCTACATGTTTCAAAGGGTCAAATCTGAATTGTCTGACCTTCAGGGTACATTATTTTGATCCAGCTGAACATAACCAAGCTTCCTGTCTATCTACATATTCTAACATAGAATACAGCTACAGCATATCATACTGAATATCTTTTCCCCTTTAAGGTATATCTAAGCCAATCTTAAGGAATGAATCCAACTTGGTGTATATCCTTGCAACACAACTTCAATTGTTAGCTAGTCTTAAAGTAAAGTCACCATTGACATATCTAGAGATCTGAAAACGTGAGATAATTATAGTTGGCCAAGCTGCTGGGTAATTACTACACAACATGAAAAAATTACCTACTGAGGCAACTTGAGCTGAGACTGTTTGAAGTTATCAAAGACAGTTGGACTAGACAGATAAATACTTCACTTGTCGTCAGCTGTGTGTGCAATGAAAATACATTAGTGTCAGACTGGTGCCACTGCCACAATCAGGGTTAGCGATGAATGCCTGAAGAAATGTGTAAATATGTTTTCCTTCGCTTCGACCGACATAAAACTGCATATCTATATTTTCTCATCACTAAGGTTATGTCAGCCATAACAAAGTTAATTCAGCCAAACAAAAGCCATTAAAACATTTTTCTCTATACATTTTTTTAAAGATACTGGAGTAGATCGGAGCTTTGCATCCTAGATGTGGACTAGCCTATAGCATGACAACATGCAACATGTCCATTAAGCAGGGAGGCATTAGATGGTGGTTTTAGATTAACCACATCAAATGCTTGCATTTAGGTATCTTAACAACAAACAATTATTTATTTGACCCAGCATCGCTCGTGGCTAAACAATAAATCAATTTTTTAACACCTTTCAAAGGCCATCTAGGGCCATGAAACATCAAAAAGGGAACCGAGCCACTTAAGGAAATTGCTCAAGCAAATTATACAAGTGTCGATGACAGGATCCCTCTAAACTTGAACCAGGAATGCTCTCTCCCACTAAACAGTCTCTCAGGTAGAAACGTTTTATGAAAAACTATCTTAGGTTTAATTACAGACTAGTCTGCATCTTAAGAGCAGGTCAACTCTTATTTGATTCCATCTTATGTCTTTCTGTCTGGCCTAAAACCTCACACCAATGTCTACAGGGATATTTTACCAGGAGTATTTTATTTTAATTATATAATTATAATGCATGAGATAATGATAAGAATTCCATGTCAGACATTTTCTCCAGTGCACAATGTTAAATGAACCCTAGTAATAGCTGATGTGACACGGCCTTGAGTGTCAAAACAAACCTAGGCAAGAGTTTACAAAGTACTGAGGTAGGTATTGTTCATGGTCTGAAATGTATGTGTTCTTATGTTATTACCATGTTATGACCCCCCTCAAATGTCACTACTGTCATGCCAGGTATAATTTGTCAGACTGAGTGATAGGAGTCTGCTAACAGTCATCTGTTCATCTAGTGTATAGAGTTGGTCTAACTTAGATGTATTGACAGCCACACTTTCCCATCACCACACACACACACACACACACACACACAGTCTACATACAACATTAAAATGGCCATTTCACCTGCTTACAAAAACCTCCCACAATTTCAACAACAAAAAATGGCACCATTTACCTTCACTGAGCTGGAGAACATGCTAAAGAGTTACAGTGTATCAGAGTCTGGATGAAATGCGAAAATAGCCGTTGCTGTTTTCTCTCACATGAATAGATTCGGAAATGAGAGCTGAATTGTTGAACAGCCACATTGGTGGTCTTTTTGGTCAGATGCATAAATCAATTATGTGCGTAAAATAAGGAATGTTTAGCACCCGGCAGAGGAGCATAAGTTCCCTCCGCCACATGTTAAATGTGCCTCATATACAGTATTCTACAGTTCTGAAAGCAACAGGTGAGAACGAAAAAAAAAGAATATAAAAAATTACCTGTTTTTCAAACGCGCTTTCAGAAAGTTCTTCCCGAATGGAGCCATAGCAACTATAACACAATTATCCAAAATGAGGCCAAAAATGGGTTACAGTCACTGCATGGCCGGACGTCCGTGACTTTTTCTCAAACTGGTGTAGGTTTGTCACTCACCAAAAAGTTGAACACTGTCCCAAATCGGAAACTCTTGTCATAGCGCACTTCAGTGAGAGGCCGCCCCATCGTAAAACTGAGGGTGGCGTTTATCCAAAAATGGATGCGTAAATCTCAGCCGCACTTATTCTGCGCGTTCAAAACTGTTATTTTATAATGGCCAACACATCAAAGTATACATTTGTCATTTTAAAAGTGGACAGAACAGAAGACAATATCTGTTTTTTTCTGTGTAACTTTCTTTGATATACATTGGGAATATCGATATTCCCATTTCTGTTAGAGAGAACAAATCATTCATGCGTTCATGTTTTTCATATATGGACTATTTCACCCCTGTGTTCACTTGAGAATAGTCGTTTTGGTGGCATCATTAATGGTTTCCCACAATCCAGTCATTTATTGCAGCCCACTAGGCAGCATATGAATGCGCGATGGAAGAGCAAGTAGCCATCATTTGCTTGAGACTGACGTCTAGCGGGAGTGCATTTTCATCAAGATAGCATGACCTATGTATGGTACAATTAGACTATAATTCATCGCTGTTTGGGATTACCAGTAGCCTATGGTTTTTGATAGCAGTTGTTAATATATTATTACACAAAATGGTTATTACCCAAATAATGTCTATATTTATTTCAAATGTATAACAATGGAATCGTTTAAAATAAATAATAAGAAAACAATATACTATAATAATCACACACAT